TGAGCTCATTTTGTTGCTGTCTACTGCAACTGCATCTCTTGAATTCTTGTTAATGTTTCATCAGTGGTATTTAAGAAGTACTCTGTAGACGTTAAATTTGGGAAACAGTGAAATGATTCATAAAATGACCCCATTAAAAAAACACAACTCTTCAGTTGCACTTGTACCATTAGTTATATATAGCTAAATGTAGGTGGATATTTAATGATTTTTTTTTTAAGACTTTAAGTAATCTCTATACACAACATGGGGCTTGAACTTAGAACTCTGAGATCAAGAGTTGTATGTGCTACTGACCGAGCCAGCCAGACGCTCCAAGGATATTTAATGATTTTTAATAAAGCGTAAATGTTAGTAAATGCCTGGAAACCAGGTCCTCTCCCCTCCCCCAACAATGTGACCATCACTGGTGGTTGGTTGGTTTGTTTTCTGCCTCACCAAGTTTTCCTTATGTGTAAGCTTTATGGTATAAGCTGCTTGCAACCATGTAAGTGACAGGTTTCTATAAACTGATGTCCTAGAGATAAAAGTGTTGCACTGACAACTGTTTTATTTTTTTAAAGATTTTATTTTAGTTTTTCTAAGTCATCTCCATGGCCAGTGTGGGGCTGGAACTCACAACCCCAATATCAAGAGTGGTGTGCTTCACTGACTGAGCCAGCTAGGAACCCCACTTTAAACATTCTTTAAACATGCTGTGGCATTAACTACATTTATGTTGTGCCACCGTCACTACCATACATCTCCTGAACTTTTTCGTCTTTCCAAACTGCAAATCTGTACCTAATAAACAGTAACTCTCCTTTTACTCCCTCCCCCCATATTCCAGAAACCATGATTCTACTTCCTGTCTCTCTGAATTTGCCTGTTCTAGGCACATCATATAAGCGGAATCATATAATGTTTATCCTTTGTGTCTGGTGTATTTCACTTCCCATAATATTTTAAAGTTCTGTCCATGTTGTAACATGTTGGTACCACTTAAAAATTATTTAAATTCAATTTAGTTAACATAGTGTATTACTAGTTTCAGGGGTAGGATTTAGTGATTCATCAGTTGCATATGACACCCAGCGCTCATTACATCACGTGCCCTCCTTAATGCCTTGCATCCCCCATTACCCCATCCTCCCACCCTCTCCCCTCCAACCACCCTCAGTATGTTCCCTATAGTTAAGAGTCTCTTATGGTTTTCCTCTCTCGGTTTTTTTCAAGATTTTATGTATTTATTTGAGAGAGAGAGAGAGACAGAGATAGCGACAGAGAGCAAGAGTGGGGAGGAGAGAGAGAAGCAGGCTCCCCACTGAGCAGGGGGCTCGATGCGGGGCTCGGTCCTAGGACCCTGAGGTCACAACTTAAGCCGAAGGCAGATGCTTAACCAACTGAGCCACCCAGGTGCCCCAGCTTCCCTCACTGTTTTTATCTTATCTTATTTTTTCTTCCTTTCCCCTGTGTTCATCTGTTTTGTTTCTTAAATTCGACGTGAGTGCAATTATATGGTATTAATCTTTATCTGACTTATTTCACTTAGCATGATTCCTTCTAGTTCCATCCATATCATTACAAATGGCAAGAGTTCATTCTTTTTGATGACTGAGTAATATTCCAATGTATATCTATACCACACCTTTATGTATTCATCTGTTGATGGACATCTGGGCTCTTCCCATAGCTTGGCTATTGTGGACATTGCTTCTATAAACATTGGGGTGCAGGTACCCCTTTGAATCACTCTTTTTGTATCCTTTGGGTAAATACCAAGTAGTGCAATTGCCAGGTCATGGGTTAGCTCTTATTTTTAACTTTCTGAGGAACCTCCTCCATACTGTTTTCTAGCACCTCTGCACCAGCTTGCATTCCCACTAACAGGGGAGGAGGGTTCCCCTTTCTCCATTCTCCATTCTTACCAACATCTGTTATTTCCTGAGTTGTTAATTTGAGCCTTTCTGACTGGTGTGAGGTGGTATCTCATTGTGGTTTTGATTTTTGTTTCCCTGAGGCTGAGTGGTGTTGAGCATTTTTTCATGTGTCGGCCATTTGTATGCCTTCTTCTGACAACTATTTTCTTAAACTTAGTTTTAGTACCACTTAGTAAGATTAGAATAGGGAAGGACAGTTACCTTGCCTGCTTTCATAATTATAGCTTTCAATAATTGAGGGCCAGAAAATTAGAACACTGTATTTTCAGATAAATATAAGACTATGCTATCTTCTCTGTGGTAAGGTTTTCAAGCCTTTGAAATTTTAAGACTACTCAGATATATATATTAATTATACTTTGATTTTGGGTCAGGAAAACATATTCAGAAAGATTGTCATTCAAAGGTTTATAATGGTACTATGAACAAACAACACTTTACTGAAGATACAGCATTAGCAATGTTAGTAACACCTTTTGAGGTTTCTTTATCCACAGAATAAATAGATTCTGGTAAAAATCTAATGTCATTGAGCACTCATTATGTGCCAGGCACTGTGGTAAGTGGTTTACCAATATTTAAAAAAAAATTTAAGTGGCTTTGAAAGTTGACATTATGCTATAATTTTATATTTGGAACATGAACTGTTTGGGTTAAAAAATCTTCATGCAAATTCCTACAAACAAATTGAGTACGGATGTGCAGTGGGTGGTTTTTCAGCTTAAATATCTCAGCTGGATTTAATTACCTTAAGGGATAAGGCTCCATGATGGGCCAGTGGCTTACCAAATTATTTTTCATTTTCTGGAACTCGATGTCACTAAAGGTTAATGCATCCCCTTTCTCTGTTAGAGACCCGAGTTAAAATCCATTTTAGAGCATAAGTGTAAATGAATTTGTTGTTGTTTTTCCTCCTTGGGGACACGGTGGTCATTTTGTGACGCTGCTTTTCCATTTGGAATCATTGGCAGCTCACATGAGGCCCAGGGGCCCTTGTCCCAGGGGCAGTTGCAAGTCAGCATGAAAATGCAGGCTGCAAGGGGGCAGGGCTGGCCCAGAGCTTGTCATTTTTTCATGCTTTGATTCTTTCTTGGTTAACTTAGGGAAACTTACTTGCTACTGACATTTTATTATAGCACATCATGTAACAAGTGATGTGTTTTGTGGGTAAGCCATTGCATTTCCCTCCCCATCTCAGGCCAGTTTGTATTTGGTGGCTCCCAGGCTTTCTGTATTTGCTGTCCACCTGCTCCCAAATGACTGTGTATATTGGTGTAGGGCTGTGATCAACGCTTCGGAACATTGGTATGTTTCATGGCTTTTATTATCTATTACTTTTATATAAATGCCATACTTTTTAGGAGCATGTTTATATCCCTAATTATATTTATTATTTTTACCTTGAGGTATTATTAGTTACTGCCTTTATTTGTACCTTTTAGGAATATTTACAAGTATAACCTAAGCAGGGAATGGTCATAGCATAGGAATCCCTTTGCGAAGCTTCATGGGGCTCTTTTCCCTCTGAGTTCAGCTTGTGTCCTCTCTTTTCTATTACTACTAGTAGCTACTATTACTATTATTATTGCATCCTTTGTATTTCTTTCTTGCTTTTATTTTTCTCCTAAGGAATAGTACCTAGAGTATACTCTTCACTTTGTTACTTTCTTTTAAGAAAATCTAGATTTTGGGGTGCCTGGGTGGGTCAGTCAGTTTAGCATCTGACTCTTGATCTCAGCTCAGGTGTTGATCTCAGGGTTGTGAGTTCAAGCCCCATGTTGGGCTCCACACTGGATGTGGAATCTACTTAAAAAAAAAAGTATATGTATATATATATTTAAATATATATATATCTGGGGCAGCCCCAGTGGCTCAGGGGTTTAGCGCCGCCTTCGGCCTGGGGCGTGATCCTGGAGACCCAGGATCGAGTCCCACATCGTGCTCCCTGCATGGAGACGGCTTCTCCTTCTGCCTGTGTCTCTGCCTCTCTCTCTCTCTCTCTGTGTGTATAAATAAATAAAATCTTTAAAATATATGTGTGTATATATATCTATATCTATATATTTCTTTAAAGAAAACATAATCTTACATACATGAATAAATGGGATCATGTAATTAACATAGTTTTGTTTTGTTTTGTTTTTTTCCTTTGCAGTTAACTGCTTTGGTTTCAAAGTGGGTTGTTCCAGGCTCTCTGAATTCCTTTTATTCATTTGTTGTAGGCCTTCCCATGCCATTTTTATTCATCCAGTCTTTTTTTGTCTTAAGATCTCCCAAATCATACTTAATACCAGGAGTATTTCCCTCTCCGTAGTTTATCTCCTATTTACCACTCATGTCCCATTTTTTTCTATTGAAATGGATCAGGCCAAGGAGAGAGGTGATGACTGCTGTTTTCTCCTTGTAGCATTCATGTAAAATGGGTGTTGCCCTGTGTGTATGTGTGTATGAGAAAAAGCAAGAGATATACATATCTCACTATAGGTAGACACACATACAGATTTAGGCTGACCAAACTCTGACTCATGATCACCTTGAGAATTATTTAAAAATGTATGTAGTGTCCTTTTATTTAGTCTTAGTCTTAAAAAACTAAATTTGATTAAAAGTTTATTTAAATCATTAGTAAGTGGACTTTTTTGAGAATATGAATGGTATAATTTAATTGGGAAGGTCATTTAACTTGTGTCTGGTAACAGGCAATGCATGTGGGAATAAATAACATGTACAGCTTTGCAGCACTTTATATTTCTTCATGTTTATTATGTTCTTTGTTATTTCACTTAGATGTTAGACCCTTCAAAGGCAGAACTAGGCCTCTCTACCTGATACTCTTCAAAGTGTGGTGTATGTTGATAAGGTTCTGGTAAACTCTCTTTTTTTACCATATCTTTTAAAAATGTGGTCATCTTGTTTTACAAAATAAAGTCTCATAGTCTCATAAAAGAAAGTCTCAATGTTTTACAAAATAAAGTCTCATAGTCTCATAAAAGAAAGTCTCAAATAAAAATAGTCTTATTTTTCTAATATTGCGAGGTTATATAGTTGTCCTACTTAATCATTTTTTTCCCTCCCCTTCAGGTGTCAGCAGTCGAGTCCTTGGAGGGCCCCCTGCTCCAGGTGGAGGGATTGAGTGACCTTAGGTTGGAGCTTCATAGCAAGAAGATGAACCTCCATTTGGTTCTCATAGATGAATTGCACCGGCACCTGTACATCAAATCCACTAGCCGAGTTGTGCAGCATAACAAGGAGAAAGGGAGAGTGAGGTTGGTTAAAGAGGCTCTTGGCTACTGTGTCTTGTGGTGGTGAATTTGAAGGAATGTTATTTGTTTCCCACAGTCCTATTGTCTCCTCCTCCTCCTCCACATCTCTCCCTCTTCTCCTCTTCCTCTCCCTCACCTTCATTCCTTCATTGCGTTTATTATGATCCTTTAATGAAAAGATAAGAAACATTTGCTGTGGGGCCTTTATATTGGATCAGAGATGCTCTGGTGTATCTCAGAAGGAAGAGAAAAAAGATCCTTAAATTGTGTAGTACAGTCAGTGTAATGTAGAAACATAAGTGCATGAACTGAAGTTAAAAGACTATTACTTGGGGTTGTGTTCATCTTTAGACAATCTTCTTTCTGGAATAGTTCGGGAGAGCTTCAAAGAGAGCACTTTTCTTTTATCCCTGGGCCGATCTTAGCATAGACCTATACTTAAGAACTGGCGTGTGGACTCAAGAAATTCGTTAGGTTAGTCTAGACCTGGTAGGGAGTAAGACAAGATCTTAAAGACAGTTGAGACAGTAGAATACTGACATTACTAACATGTATCAGATAGCTGTGCATGTCTTTCCAACATTCCTTTAAAATAGCTGTAAGATCTTTTCAGAGGGCAGTTTAGCAGTATCTGCCGAAATGCACGTGCTCATATTTTTTCATCCAGCTGTGGCCAAAAGGAGCACTGGAAGCAATGCATGCTGGGAATGAAGTCTTTGAAATCCTATCCTGTTCAGACAAAAATTGCCAACTTTGTGCGTGATGCTTCAATTTAGTCCGAGACCCTGACAGAAAGAGAAGTTTCTATCTCATTTCTACAGATGGGCACTAGAAAATCTTTTGCCGGGCACACAAATTGAGCTGAGGGATAGGTACTGGAGACTTAACTTCAACACTGGATCTGGATAGTATGTTAGTTCCTTAGTGTAGAGTAGTGTTGGGCCAGTGCTAAAGAAATTCCTTCTATAGTGTGTGGTGGTAAATAGCAGGTCTGAATAGATTTATTCCCATGTAGGGATTAAAAAAAAAACAATCAAAACTACTCTGGGTCCTATGAAGATACTCTATAACATAAGGGAAAAATAAGCATTACCTTGAAGTCTCAGAAAAGAGCATTTATTTGAGAAAACAATTTTATAAATCAAAACAGGAAAATTTAAGATGCTTGAGTTCTTCAGAAGATGCAAGATGATATAATAGATTATTCAAAATGATTACTCTTTCTTCTGCTATAGTGGGAGGAGAATACTTCCTGATCTTTGATTTGTTTTGGGGTTTTTTAGGGAGAGGGAAGGGAGGCTTGCTTTTGCTTACTTGTTAACATGTGAACAAGGAGAGGCCCAAAATATGCCTGTGGCAGAGAGCATGCCCTCTTGTGCCTTTGCCATTGGCCAGATGGTGTTAGGTCCAGAGGAGGATGAGAACCCCCTGGAACTGAACTAAGATCAGTTTAGCCTCCTGGCCTGGATCAGCCAACTGCCAAAATACATGCCGAATTGTTGAACATAACTGAGATCTTGTGGTTGTATGCACAAGCATATGGTTTCTATGAAAAGTTAAGGGAGAGCTGTAAGAATGGAATTGGTAGAGATGCAAAAAGAACTAATGAAAACATGAGCAAAATATAAGAATCAATGAAATAAAGTAGAGAAATTCAATCTTTGCTTAAACCATTAAAGAGTTGTATCGGTGATAGGGAAGGAAAAGTTTCCTCATCATGAAGAGGAAAAACAGAAGGTGATAGAAAGATAGTAGATGTGAAAGTTGGAGAACAGTGATTTTAGTTATTCTGGAGAACAACAATAACATGATAGTGTTTGGGGCTGAGTTTTGCCTCCCTAAAATTGGGGTATGAAAGTTCTAACTGCTAGTACCTCAGACTGTGACTAGGTTTGGAAATAGAGTCTTTTAAGAGGAAAGAAGTTAAGATGAGGTCATTGGAGTGGACCCTACTCAGGTGTCTGTCTAAGAGGAAATTTGGATATAGACTCGCCCAGAGGGAAGATCTTGTGAAGATGTAGTGCAACATAAGGAAAGAGTCCTCAGAAGAAACCAACGTTTTCAACACTTTGATCTTGACTTCTGGTCTCCAGAACTGTGAGAAAATAAATTTATGTTGTTTAAGTCACTCAGTCTGGGGTACCTTATTATGGCAGCCCTAGCAAATGAATACAGAGAAATAGAGGCGATAATTACAGTGTAAATAAAGAAGCCTACTTTAAAAAAAAAAAAAAAAAAGAAACACAAACCCCAATCCAAAAGACCTTGGTCTGAAAATCAAAAGTATTTAAGTTAAAATTAATGAAAAGACTTATTCTTAGATGGGATCAGGAAATCTTTATGAATTTTGAAAAATTTCTGTAAGGACTAGGAAGAAAAATCTCCTGTGACAGAGATGGTTATTTGACCACCTGATGCCTAGTTGTTCCTTCTTCATTTTTAATGACAACCCTTATTTTGTTCTTAGCAACTAACAGGCTATATTGCTCATCCTCATGCATAGCCTAAGGTGAGACTTTTGCTTGCAAGCTTTTGAATCTGGGCTCATAGGAAAATTCTTTAAAGGTGCCAGCCAAACTGGTATGCTTGCTCTTTTACCCTTCACTTTCTCCTTTTAATTCCTGTCAGGGACATGGATTGGTACCATCAAACCATCTTGAATACTAGGTGATCTTGAGTATGGAAGGCATATCCTAAACTCTTTGATAGCGTGGCTCCTCCTGTATATCCCTAAATGGATGAGAGGAAGGAAAATTTTTATTATACTCAGGTACTCAGGCCACTGCTCTTTTGAGTCTTCAATTTTATACAGTTAAACCTAGGCCTGATAAATAGGAGCAAAACCCAGGATCACCAGGATTTGCTGAACATGAAATGCCAGAAGATCGTGGAACAGAGTCTACAGAGTGTTGAATGGAAAAGAGTTGAGACCAAAGGTTTCTATATACCCAGCCAAATGGACACTGATAAACATGGGTAGCAGACAGACATCCTCAGATACAAATTAACATCAGAAAGAAGTAGGGTTTTTTTGAGTATTTGAAAAATACTCAAATATGATACAAACCACAATCAGCACCTTGAGAACAATAAAGTTGTAGGTAGTTTGAAATTACTGTAAGGACCACACGGCATTAAATATGTAAATTGGCATTTAAATAACTGATGTATTTTGGCAAGATCAAAAATAAAGCTGAAGCTATTTTTGAAAAAGGTCTATGTGGTCAAAGGATACTCCATAATAAAGGGGATTTATATCTCCATATTAAGTTTGAGACTGAGAACTTTGGACAGGTAGGACATAAAAAGGAATGCTAATTCTTGTATAAGATGAATCAGAAGTTCTGGATTTGAATAATGGGAAAAATGTTTAATTTCGTGTTTATTAAGCTAGATACATATATTTAAAGATTTCTATGTTGAAAATCATTAGAAGAGAAGCAAATAAAATATTATCTAGTACAAAGGATTATCTATTAGCCAGTGTTTTAGCTTGCAAGTAGCAGAAGTCAATCCTGATTAATAAGGAAAGGAATTAAGTGGGAAGTGGTAAGGTCGGTCATAGAATTTAAGGGAAGGAAGACTGTAAAATCAGGCTCTAAAGTCAGGAGGGACCAGGGGAGCTGAAGCAGCTGAGCACACATCATCGACAAGCCTTAGGGAAGGGTCTGGTTGGGTTGTTGCCCTTCTGTCAGCATGCCTGTGGTTGCTGGATTTTTCACTTTCAGGCCAGTGACCTCTAAATGTCTTTGCATCTGTCCTTATTCCCTCAAGATTCAGAGTCCTTGGTGGAAGCATCTGAGACATGTCTGGCCTCCTTTAACTTTTACAGTAGGAAGTTGGGCTCTCTTCTTTGCTTTTTTTTTTTTTTTTTTTTTTTTAAAGATTTTACTTATTTATGAGAGGCCCAGAGAGAGAGGCAGAGTCATAGGCAGAAAAAGAAGCAGGCTTATTCAGGGAGCCCGATGTGGGACTCGATTCCAGGACTCCAGGATCACGCCCTGGGCCTAAGGCAGGTGCTAAACTGCTGAGCCGCCTGGGTGTCCCTTCTCTTTGCTTTGACCCAGACAATGGAAGTTCTTTCCAAACACAAAAACTGTTCCAATTGTTGGTATCCAAAGACAAACACAAACACTCAACAACAAATTTCTACTGTGGGAGAGAACAAAAAAATCACATGAAGGCACCTATGTATAAAGAACAAATTTTAAAAAATGGTTTTTATTTATTTGAGAGATAAAGCATGAGTGGGGGAGGGGCTGAGGCAGAGGGAGAAGCAGGCTGCCCATTGAGCAGGGAGCCCAATGTGGGGCTCCATCCCAGGACCCTGAGATCATGACCTGAGCTGAAGGCAGATGTTTAACCGTCTGAACTACCCAGGTGCCCCAAGAACAGATATTTTTGAAGTAGAAACAGACAACTAGTAGATGTAATAAGAGAGAACACGATGGAAAAATAATAAAAATGGTATTTGGAGGATATGAAACAAGACCTACATCAATGAGGAGACCTTCCATGTTCTTAACTCAAAGATACCAGTTCTAGTTAAAGCCTAGTTGGGTTTTTGAAATTGTCAGATCTGTAGTTCACATAGAAGAATAGATGAGTGAGAATTATTAAAAAAAAATTAAAGGGAGATAATAAGACCTTTCTTATATAATACTAAACTATATTTTAAAACTAATCAAAATAGTACAGGTATGCAAAGAAAATTGGATTGGAAAAAAAATCAGATAGGGACAGCAAAACAATTTAGAAACAAATGCAGGATATATGGGACTTTAATATTTTTTTTTTAACAATAATCCAAGTAAGTGGAAGGAATGAAAGCTATCTAGAAATTGGTGTTTAGACATTTGGCTAAAGAAAGTAAATGTAGATGCTAACCTGTTATTACATATAAAAAATCCTAACTCAATTTAAAAATCATATGATAAAATTTTACTAGCGTTAGAAAAAGTTAAGAGAAAGTATGTGGAAGAGGCTTTGTAGGCCCATATCCT